AAGATTATGTTTGGTTGGATATATTTCATTAGTGAAAGTCACATTGAGTCTTAAAAATTAGATCAATGATATAATTATTATTATATAATAAAATATGTAATGCAATTCTGGCACACAGATATTTTTTACTAAATATTAATCTTTAGACCTACCTATGATTATGTTTAAACATAATATATCAGTAAAACRTTTAAATATTTTTGTTCATTAAATTTAAATTTATTTATTTATTGGTTAATASCTAAGTACTAATATAAAATCTCAATTAGGTAGGTACATTAAAATAAATGTAAGGTTTTAAGTAGATACCTACATAATAATTATAACTTATTCATTTTTATTTCCATATGTAATATATTTTTGTGAGTCCACACTGTGGTTTGATGAGATGGAAGGAATTGTTTAAATAATTAAAGAAATATTAATTAATTTAACTTATAAAATTGAATAGTTTAAATAAAGTAGTGTAGACTAGTGAGATGTAACTTGAATACTAGCAGTAGGAGTTGGTTGGTGGTGTCTGTTCGTTTGACGAGAGTTTGTCTCTCGGCATATCTCAATGACTTGGTCGCTGGTCACTATCYCTGCCATTATGAGGTACGTGCAGGATTTCCCTTTGCATGTATATTTACTAATACAAAGATAAAAGTATTCCTTTACACAAAACGCAATATTCCTATATATATCTTATTTTATTAATTATTCATATAAGTATAGTGATATATATATTTTTGCGTGACATTCATGGTCACGCGCTATTAACACACTATTTATAATTATTATAACCATAGGCGCATCTACTTATAGGTCTATTTATTATTATCTTTTACTGGAATCATCCAAGACAGATGATACCACTATTTTATATAGACTTAGTCATAACTCGCTACAATRTTTTCATATTTTTCACCCTCTTAGAACAAATAAATCGTACGTTTTCYTAGGTACCAATGATATATAGGTTTAAATAAAGTATAAACTATATACCTAATTAGTTAAATATTGATAACCTATAAGACAATATATTTACAAATTAAATTAAACCTTATTCACTGACTTTACTACTTAGAATAACTAATCAAACAATACATTTTAATATAAACCTTAATTAATAAAAATAATTTGTATTTTTTAGATTCACAAGCTGGAAAAGKACGTGATTTAGACATGTCAGATGATGAGTCATATAATGATAATGCGAGTGTAATCAGTAATGTATCTTGTAGCACATCAAATGAAGAACGTTCCTGTAAGTATTCTATTAAYTATTCAATAACATTATTACTTACTTATTTTTTCGTTTTAATAATTTATAGGTGTTGCAATTGATGAAGCTGATGAGACTCAGAATGATGCATTTGAAGAGAAATTAAGTGACGCTATTGATAGTTTATCACAGAAGTCTGCGCAAGGACGTACATTAAGTTTTGAAGCTGTTTGTAACATATTTTGCAAGAAATATATACCCGATTATATTTTAAATAGGTATGTCTTACGTGCTAAATGTAATTATTTATTTTGTTGAAAAATAAATTCAGTATTGAACTAAACTTTTTTTCCAGGCGTATGACAATTACTGATTCCATTGAACGCGCCCTTAAAAAAGGTGGTGATAATGAGAAAGCTGCAGCAGCCAATTTAGCTAGTTTATTGTGTATACAATTAGGTGCATTGGACTTTGTAGAAAATCCATGTCAAGAACTGTTACCTACTCTAATGTTTGTTCTTAATGATGAATCTGTTCCTTTATTGGCCCGAGAAAAAGTAATTGATTATTTTTGCTCATACCTAAATTATATTACTAATTCCATCTGTTATTAAATCACTTTTAATTTTTCAGTGTTGTTTGGCCATAACATTACTAACTTTTATTAGTTGTAATGAAGAAATTGATGCAGCTATGCAATTAATGCGCAATTTATGGAGACGTTTATTACATTCAACAGCTATTTCTCCGTCGGTAGCAGCTCTTTATTCAGCAGCATTATCTTCTTGGTCTCTCCTACTGTCTACTGTATCAATTAGAAATTCTTCTGCTATAATTCCGTAAGTTACTAGGTATTTACTAATGTTAATTAAAAAAAATTAAAACTAACATTAATTGATATATTTCCTTCAATTGTAGTACCTTAGCAGAATTGAGTACACTCTTAGACTCAACACATCTAGAAGTGAGAATGGCTACTGGTGAATTAATAACAGTTTTATTAGAAATGGCACGTGAATGTGAAGACATGGATGAATATGAGCCAGATGAA